TCCCATCCAGGAGCGACCGCCTGGGCAACTACAGTAAGGACTGTGAGCACTTCTAGACATTGTGCAGCTCTTCCATCTTTTGTGTATGTATGCGTGTGGAAGACAGAAGAAACAATAAAAGGTTAGAAACCTACCCCAGAAGCACAGTGGCCAGAGCAAGAAGATCCCTATTGCTGCACCTCCCATTAAAGTGACACCAGTAAAAGGGACACATTGGACACAAGGTCACAGCAGCCACATTCTGTCCGTAACTCTTGTGGTGCTTCCAGGAATATTTAGCCATGCTGATTCCTCTTCTCTCTCCCACAGAAAAGCCTTCCCCAAGCAGCCTCCCTCTGGCCATGTTGGACTACAACGTGCCTTACTCGGCTCTGAAATGAGCCTTTGCCTCTCCTTTATGAAAGGAGAAATTGGCCTTTTTTCCTCCCTTGCTCTACTTGAAATGTGCAGAAAACCTGAAAAACCAGTTTGGACAGAGCTTAGAGCAGGAAACAAAGATGGATACAGATATTTGCATCTCTGCACTGCAGGCAGCACTAGAGTTAGCAAACTAATAATGTTGTGTCAGTCTTCATTCTTGAGAAAGCCCCTCACCCCATCCCAAACTCCTTGGGAACCTGCAATGGGCAAATCAGAGCCAGAACAAGAGTATAGACGCAGCCCAAGCAGATTGGCGTGACTGGCTACTTTTCCATGGAAAGAGGATGAAGGGAGATACCAAACTGGATTGCACATTTAGAATATTTTTTAAAAACCAGTGCTCCCTCAACTGGAGAAAGATGTCTGTCTGTTGTAGTATGTGATTTTCCTCCCCTGCATACCTTGTATTTATTCAGCTTTGCTTTATGAATGATTGTTCAATAGTAAAACTAGGTTTAATTGATGGCTGATGGCTGAAGCACATTATCTCTGAGGAAATCCCACTATGGGAGAGTAAGGGGTTATTTAAGAGGGAATGTACATCCTTCTTAAGGTCTATGACTCTCAGGTATAGGACAGAAGGAAATGTGGATGTTCAGAGTGGCAAGGCCCCTGCTAGAATGGAGAATCGTACCATACTGGTAGCTCAGCAGCTACCTGTTCATGTCAGTCAGCCCATCTGTCAGTCAGTCTCTCTCACACACATGTCTAACCAGTGTTATAATACTGTGTAGGTCTAGTGAACAAATGGACACCTCCATTGAAGTCCACACTGGGTGGATTTGGCCACCAGGATGTTATTTTCATACCTTGTACCGTGTTGCCTTTGTACCGCCTCATTGGGGCCCACCCTATCCCACCCCTCCTTCTTTCCACCTTGTAGTCTCCTTCCTTGTGTCTTTTCACACAAATGTGGAATGCTCCTTCATGAAAGGTGAGCTGGGAAGATCCTGTTTTTGTGTGCAGCGGTCCAAGGAACTGGAGCTGCGGAGGGGGATCATGCACCGCTCTGCAGGCTTCCCTTGTCCCATCATCCCCCAGCAACAGAGAACTCGTAGGAACTCCTTCCTCATGTCCTTGCTGCGGAGGGTATAGATGACAGGATTGATGGCTGAATTGAGGGTAGCAAAGGCAAAGAAGTATTTCGCCTTGTAAAGAATGGCGCATGACTTCCTGGCGCACGAGGCATCGACCATAAGGATGATGAAGGCTGGCAGCCAGCAGATTATGAAAGCCCCTAGGACAAAGGTGACCGTCCTGAGCAAGGACACTGTCTGGGAGCCAGCCATCTCGGCGTGGCTGGAGCGGACAATGCGGTAGATCCGGACATAGAGGATCACAATGGAGAAGAGGATGATGGTGAAGATCAAGACTACAAAGAGGATGTACTGTTTGGAGTAAAGGGGCAGGACAGTTGAGCACTTGTCAAGATCAGCCATACAGTTCCAGCCAAGGATGGGCAGCCCACCGATGGCGGCAGAGATTACCCAGCAGGCCCCAATTAGGAGCACCATCCGGCAGTTCTTGTCACTGCTGTAAACCTTCACCTTAGTGATGGCCACATGTCGCTCAATGGCAATGGCCAGCAGGCTGAAGACCGAGGCAGCCAGCGTGGCAAAGGCTGTGCCCTCTCGCACAAACCATTGGACTGGGGTGAGGTGGAAGGTGGCCGGGCCTGAAAGAACAATGTTGGCGATGAAGGCTGAGCCAGCCAGCAGGTCTGAAAAGGCCAGGTTGCCGATGAAGATGAACATGGCTGAGTGGAACTTCTTGTTCCTCCAGACAGACACAAGCACCAGCAGGTTCTCCAGGATGATAAAGCAGCAAAGCACAATGATGAGAATGCTGCCAGTTGAAAGGCCAGGGGGCTCGTCCTTCTCCAGCTTATCCTTGGTGTAGTTGTAATGCTCCTCGATCTTCGACGTATCGAAGTAGAACTGGTAGATACTCTCCATGGCTTGGCCACAGTTTTGTAGCACTGGTTACGGTGAGGCCCACGTGGGTATGCCTGTATTAGAGGGCATCAGGATAGTATCACATCCAATCTTCAATCATTTGGACTAAGATGGACTGCAGGACAATTTAGTGGAATCTGGAGTTGGTGAAGAATGCACAAAAATCACAGGTTAGGAGCTTAGAACAAAGATCAGGGGATAGGGAGAGAGAGAGGCATCACAGGAGATAGTCAAGTGTTCTGGTAATATGCCATAGCTGGGAAAGTTACTTGTAAAAATGAGCCCATTCCCATTACCCCAGTGTTACCCAAAGTTTGGTCCTCCAAATGTTTTGGACTTCAGCTCCCAGAGTTCCTACTTCTTGGCTAAGCTGCCTGGGGTTTCTAGGAGGTGAAATCCAAAATATCTGGAGGACCAAAGTTTGGGAACCTCTGCATTATATATTATAGCAATTTGTTTTTATTACTTGTTGCAATATTATGAAAGTACATCACTCCCTTGCTTGTTACTTTTCTGTTGTTCTTTTCTTTTTTTGGAAGTTCCCATAAAGTGTTCTACATTTTGTTACAATAATAGTACTATATACATACATGTGTGTATATTTTGTATATTTGTAAAATATGCCACCCACCCACCCCTATCCTTTTCCATTACTGAAATACAAACAATCCAACATATTTCTTTCACCTAGCTAATTCTATCTATGTTTTCATTGGTAATCAAAATTATTCTGTATACTTTGATCCTGGATTTCCTATCGTCTCTCTGGTTGGTGTGAATTGTTTCTTTAACTTCTTCTACCTCTTTTTCAAGTCTGTTTGTTAGATGATGTTTTATCTCTATGGCCCTGTATTTCAGAGAGTGTTCACAACTCCAGTGAATTCTTTTGAAGGCTCCTGAGTAAGGCCTAGTGTGACCGAAACACATTGGTCTTTTTAAAACGCGAATAAACAGTTGACCATCTTTTAGCATGTGGAGCTTGTCTCCTCTTTGTTTGATGCTTCTAAAAATGCCTTAAAGCACCTTTTAAAATTAACATTTATGGGTTACTATAGCATTATTAATTGCACAAAGTAACATTTCCCCCCTTTTGGAATGTGACTTTGTTCTGGTCCCTTTCTGAAGGTGTTCTTTGTTTGAAGGGCCATCCATCCCAAATCTAGTTAAAAAACTAAGGGTGCATCCACACTGCAGAAATAATATCTGGTGCCAGAACAAACTACATTTCCCATAATTCCATGGCATTGAACCATGGCAGTTAAGTGGTGCCAAACCAGATTATTTCTGCAGTGTGGATGCAGCCAAAGACCAATGAGATGGCAGAGCAGGAGCCTTGGAGTTCTGCACCCAAAGATAAGCAGACTCAAGAGGCACGCACCCCAGCTGGTCTCAGCCTTCCCTCACTCAAGTGAGATGTATTGCAATCCAATTTAAATTACAAAAATCATTTCTCACATGCATTTGCCTCCAGGATTTTATGTCAACTAATATCCTCTTTTTGGTGATGTTCCAGTGGCTGCCTGGGTTGTGGCATGTATCTTCCAGGCTGGCAAATCTGGTGATCATTTTCTTTTGATCAAATCTGCTGGCCTGATTTCTCTGGCTCCCACAGAATTACTTACCTAAGGACCTTATCACACATGGGCCACAAAGTGATAAGAATGCGATAAAAGAATAAATCCTGAACTAAACCGATAGAAACCCTACAATACGCAAATGGCTATCACACGCACTTACCTTCATCACACTTTTAAGGAAAGCGCTCCCGGGAACCGTATTTGCTGTTCACACACAAGTGAGAAAATCCCGCACATGTGCTAGAAATGTTCTTCTAGCACATGCGCAATACAGCCGCGGCTGTCACTTGTCGCGGCTGTCACCCCTTCCCAAGCCGGCTCTCTGAAGAGGTCTTCCTTGGAGAGAGGCCCCATGCAGGGTCCGCGCCCTGAGGAGGTCCTCCCCAGAGAGCCAGCTCTCTGAGGAGGTCCTCCTTGGAGCGCAGGTGGGGAAATGCTCCCCAATACGTATTGGGTTTTCATACCTATTTTAAAAGAGAAATGATTCCCGTCGCACGATTGCAATTCCTGAAGAAACCGAAATACAAAAGCTCTCGGTTCTTCACGCATTCTGTCGGGGTTCTGTCGGGGTTCTGTGCGACGTTGTGTGGACACACGGAAAAATAATACGTATTAGGTTGGGATTTCGTTTGGATTCTGTCTGCATTGAGCCCCGTGTGATAAGGTCCATAGTCATACCTACAAATCTCTGGGTGGGGCACAGTTAGCTGGACCAGAATAGGTGACTTGGTAACCACTGTGCAAATCAAGGGCTGGCATTATAGGACTTTTTTTGGCTAGATGGCACCTCTTCTTAGAAATACCTGCCCCCCTCCCACCTCCTCAGTTCCTGTTTGTCATTGCCAACACTTCAAAAATTGGGTTCAAGGTTATCTTTAAAAACTTTATTCATAATGTCCTGTGGGATAAGTTGACACTTCCATTTTACAGCTAAGGGACTGGAGTTGAGAGGAGGTTATTTGCGCAGCATATACAGTATTAGTATAGCAGATACATCCTCTGAGGCTGAGAGAATGTGACTAGTCCAAGGTCACCCAGTGTGTTTTCATGGCTGAGCAGGGATTCAGACCCTGCTCTTCAGAATCACAGTCCAATGTTCAAACCACTACACCACGATGGCAATGGCAACCCCCTTCTGAAGAAACTTGCCTAGAAAACCTCATTCTTTGTCGTCAGAAACAACTTCAAGGCAAGCAACACACAACAATACCACATACACATGCCATCTAAAGAGTGTATAGCACATACAGTAGTCAGAAAAGTTTGTGTACATTGTTGCTGTGTGCCTTCAAGTCATTTCTAACATACGGCAACTCTAAGGCAACACTATCATGGGTTTTCTTAGCAAGACTTGTTCAGAGGGAGTTTGCTTTTGCCTTCCTATAAGGCAGAGAGAGTGTGACTTCCACAAGGTCACTCAGTGGGTCCCATGGCTAAGCAGGGATCTGAACCCTGGTCTCCCAGAGCCCCAGTCCAACTCAACCCATTACACCAAGCTGACTCTCTTGTGTGCAGTGCATTATCTTCCAGCAATGCTGCAAAACATTAATACTTCTACATTGCAGATGCATTATTGTTTTTTTCCAAAGAGTCCTCTCTTCTCATGATGTGTCCAAAGTACGTCATCTTGGCTTCCAGGGAGGTTTCTGGCTTGATCTGCTCTAGGATCCATTTGTTTGTCCTTTTGGCTGTCCATGGGATCCTCAGCACTCTTCTCCAGCACCACATTATCTCAGATGCATTGATTTTCTTCCTATCATTTTTCTTAACTGTCTAGCTCTCACATCCATACATGGCAATAGGGAATACAATGGCTTGTATGATTCTAACTTTTGTGCTGAGTTGTATATCTTCGCATTTTAGAATCTTTTCTATTCACAGCCAACTTCTCCATTCTCAGTCTTCTTCTGATTTCCTGACTGCAGTCCCCATTTCTATAATGTTTGATCCCAGGTATGGGAATTCTTTTACTATTTCTGTTTCTTCATGGTCTAGTTTGAAATTTTGAAGGTCCTTGGTGGTCAGTATTTTTGTTTTATGTTCAGCATTAAGCCTACTTTTGCACTTTCATCTTTGATCTTCCTTAGTAGGTGGTCCAGGTCTGTGAGGTTTTCTGCTAGAACTATGGTGTCATTTGCATATCTCAGATTGTTGATATTCCTTCCTCCTATTTTCACTTCTTCTACTTCTGTGTCCAAGCCTGATTTTCATATAATATGTTCTGCATACAGGTTGAAAAGACAGAGTGATAAGATGCAGCCTTGTCTGACTTCTTTGCCAATTGGGAACCATTCTGTTTCTCCGTGTTCTGTTCCCACAGTGGCCTCTTGTCGTAAGTAAAGATTCATCATCAGGACTATCAGATGTGTTGGCACTCCCATGTCTTTAAGGACATTCCATAGCCTTTCATGATCTATGCAGGCTTTGCTATAGTCTATAAAGAACATGCTGATTTTCTTTTGGAATTCCCTGGTGTGCTCCATTAGCTATCGAATGTTTGCAATATGGTCTCTCATGCCTCTTCCTTTCCTGAACCCCACTTGGACCTTTGGCATTTCTCTCTCCATGTATGGTTGGAGTCTATAGGCCTTTGCAGACTGCCAGAAATAATGCAGCTTGAGTCCACTTTAACTGCCCTGGCTCAGTGTTAGGGAATCATGAGAACTGTAGGTTATTGTGGCATCAGAGCTCTCTGACAGAGAAGGCTCAATGTCTCAGAAAAAACTACAGTTCCCATGATTCCCTAGCACTGAGCCACAAACTGCATTATTGCTGGCAGTCTGTAAAAGCTCAATGTTGCAGAATTCTGAGCATGATTTTGCTTGCGTGGGAGATCAGTGCTATGGTTCTATAGTTGCTGCAGTCTCTTGTATCTCCCTTTTTATGGATGGGGATGTGTATTGATCACTTCCAATCATTTGGCTATTGTTTTATTTTTCATATCTGTTGACATATATTGGTTAACACTAGAGTTGACTCTGTCAGTGTGCAGCAGTTCAACTGGAATATGATCTGTTCCTGATTATTTGTTTTTTGCTATTTCTCTTATTTGAACCCAGACTCTGCCAACTCAGCTGAGAAGGAGGACAAAGAGGACCATCAGAGAGGCAAGGGAGCTGGGGCAAAGCACCACTTGCACTCAGACTCCGCCTCTGAGCTGAGCTGGATAATAGCAGAGGACCAGGCAGCCAAGTGGAGGAAGGAAGAAGGTGACCAGCCATCTCTGCCCTCCCCCAACCATGGAGAAAGATGTGAAGGAACTAAAGGAGGGAGAGGGTGAGGATGGGGATGGACTAAATGTCAGGGATGATGGGAGTTGTAGCTCTTCACCTCTGGCT